AGTCCTGTGTCCAGGCTGACCGAGAGAGCAGAGGCCATGAGGAAGGCTTGGAGGGGAAGGAGGCCTGTGGCCCTGGTGGCCTGGACAGCCCAGGGGGTGAGGAGTGCCACACAACTGGCTTTTGTGATGACCTCCCTGGGCAGGACGAGGATCAGAAAGCAGCCTGCTCTACTGAGGCTGTCAGCGGCTGGCAGGCCGAGGGCACGCACACCTGCCCTGACTGTGGGCGCTCTTTCCCGCATGCTGCTGGCCTGCTGGGACACAGACCCTGCCACCCACCAGGCATCTATCAGTGCTCCCTCTGCCCGAAGGAGTTTGACTCTCTGCCTGCTTTGCGCAGCCACTTCCGGGACCACGGCACGGGGGAGGCGGCCTCAGCCCAGCCCTTCCTCTGCTCCCTCTGCGGCATGATCTTCCCTGGGCGGGCCGGCTACAGGCTTCACCGGCGCCAGGCCCACAGCGCCTCCAGCTCGGCTGAGGAGGGCTCGGACGAGGATCCGGGAGATGAGGAAGGAGCCCCAGAGGACCGCTCTCCCCGTGTCCCTCCGCTGCAGGTCTCCGAAGCGGAGCTGCTGAACCAACTGCAGCGGGAGGTGGAGGCGCTAGAGGGAGCAGGATACGGGCACATCTGTGGCTGCTGCGGTCAGACGTACGATGACCTGGGGAGCTTGGAGCGCCATCACCAAAGTCAAAGCACCAAGGATACTGAGGACAAGCCGCCCAGCCTCCCGGAAGCTGCAGGAGATGCTGCGGAGGAGGCCCCAGAGGATGCAGTGGCCTCTGGCCCTGGAGAGGATGGAGACCCCAAGTCTGAGGAGGGGGTGAGTGGCACAGGCAGCCCCTGCGCGCAGGGAGATGGAGGTTCCCCGGAGGCGCAGCCTCGCCCCTTCCGCTGCGATCAGTGCGGCAAAACCTACCGCCACGGGGGCAGCCTAGTGAACCACCTCAAGATCCACCAGACCGGAGACTTCGTCTGCCCCGTCTGCTCCCGCTGCTTCCCCAACCTGGCTGCCTACCGCAACCACCTGCGGAATAACCCTCACTGCAAAGGCAATGAGCCCCAACTGCGGCCCAGCCCCGAGGCGGGGGGCAGTGCGGAGCCCCACATCACCGCGGAAGCGGTGCCTGAGCAGGTGGCTGTGAGGAAGCTCCAGGAAGAACTTAAAGCTGAGCCCTTGGACAAAGCGGCAGAGGTGCAGGAAGAGACGTGGGTGGAGACGTCCGTGAAGGAGCCGGAGCCGAGGCTGGTGAAGGCCGAGCGGCCCTTCAGCTGTGAGGTGTGCGGCCGCTCTTACAAGCACGCAGGCAGCCTCATCAATCACCGGCAGAGCCACCAGACCGGCCACTTTGGCTGTCAGGCCTGCTCCAAGGGCTTCTCAAACCTCATGTCCCTCAAGAACCACCGGCGCATCCACGCCGACCCCCGGCGCTTCCGCTGCAGCGAGTGCGGGAAGGCCTTCCGCCTGCGGAAACAGCTAGCCAACCATCAGAGGGTACACGCTGAGCGGCGAGGGGCTGGGGGCGCCAGGAAGCTGTCCCAGGAAGACGGGTCCTTCCCGTGTGGACAGTGTGGGCGAATCTACCGCCATGCTAGCAGCCTGCTGAACCACCGGTGCAGCCACCAGCCGGGCCAGCACAGCTACCCCAAGACCTGCTCGAACCGCATGGCCCTGAAGGACCATCAGAAGCTGCACTTGGAGAACCGGAGGCGCCGGGTGGGCCGGGCTCGGCGGGCAGTTGTGCGCTGTGCCCTCTGTGGCCGTGGTTTCCCTGGCCGGGCATCTCTGGAGCGGCACCTGCGGGAGCATGAGGAGGAAACCAAAAGAGAGCTTCCCCCTGGTCTGGACGACCCAAGTGGCGCAGGCGGCAACAGAGGGAGCCTGGCTGACAGCCAGGGACTTCAGCCCACTGCTGGTGGTGCTGAGTCGGGGCCCCAGCTGGAGCAGGTTGGAGCCTTGGCGACAGGGGATCTCAGACAGGGCTCTATCCGGGCCACTGAGCCACTGTCACCCAGCTGGGGGAAGGCAGAGGGGCAGCAAGGAGACAGGGCCCTGGTGAATCACCACGGAGCCTGGGGCCCTCCGGGTCAGGCCCTCACCAAACCAGAAGATGAGGCAGAGGCCAGTGTTTGCAGGAGTGCTTGCCGCCTGGCTAGCAGCCAGGCCAGTGGAGCCAGTCTGCATCAGACGGATGGCTGGGAGCATGGAGACAGCAGCTCTCCGCTCCAGCCTGGGAGTCCTTCCTGCAGCCAGTGTGGCAAAGCTGACAGCCAGTCGGACGGCTCCTGGAACCACAACAGCTCCAAGACAGACTGCCACCGTTGCCTGCATCCCTCCAAGGAGGTCTTGGCTCCTGTGGCTGCTAAGAGCCATGGCTACAATCATTTAGTTGCTCAGCCCTTTGCCTGCCCTGACTGGGACAAGGCCTTCCAGTCCCATTGTGGCGGGGCCAGCCACCTGCAGACTCATTCCAAGGATCAGAGTCAGGTGCTGACCACACAGCTGGAGGAGGCCAGGGGTCCTGAAGCCGTAGAGGGACAGGCAGGGCTCCCTGAGCAGAAGCAGGTGCCGGAAGCCCCATCAGAACCCTCCAGGGAGAATGTGGAAGGAGTCAGTAGGCGGCAGGGAGTGAAGCTCACAGTGGCTGAGGACAAGGACAGGCCCTTCTGCTGCCCCCAATGTGGGCGTTCCTACCGCCACGCCGGCAGCCTGCTGAACCATCAGAAGGCCCACACTACAGGGCTCTATCCCTGCTCGCTCTGCCCCAAACTTCTCCCCAACCTGCTATCTCTGAAGAACCACAGCAGGACCCACACGGACCCCAAGCGCCATCGCTGCAGCATCTGTGGCAAGGCCTTCCGGACAGCTGCCCGGCTGGAGGGCCACGGGCGGGTGCACGCACCTCGAGAGGGGCCTTTCACCTGTCCCCATTGTCCCCGCCACTTCCGCCGCCGAGTCAGCTTCCTGCAGCACCAGCAGCAGCACCAGGAGGACTGGCCGGTGGCTGGCTCTGGTACGGGGGCGTGATGGCTTGGGCAGCGGGGTGAGGAGTCCCAGGAGAAGGTGGGCTACTGGGTTGGGTGGGGGGAGCAGGGAATGAGAGGGGCACCAAGTCACCAAGAGGTGGGGCACTGCTTATGGAGCAGGAAAATTGGTTTGAGGACACTGCCTTTTTTTTTTTTTTTTCTAAAGATTTATTTATTTTTATTGGAAAGGCAGATGTACAGAGAGGAGAGACAGAGAGGAAGATCTTCCGTCCGATGATTCACTCCCCAAGTGAGCGCAACGGCAGGTGCTGCGCCAGTCCGAGGGCACGAGCCAGGAATTTCTTTCCAGGTCCCCCACGTGGGTGCAGAGTCCCAAGGCTTTGGTCTGTCCTCGACTGCTTTCCCAGGCCACAAGCAGGGAGCTGGATGGGAAGTGGGGCTGCCGGGATTAGAACCGGCGCCCGTATGGGATCCTGGCACATTGAAGGCGAGGACCTTAACCGTTACGCTATCACGCTGGGTCCCACACTGCCTTCTGAGCAGTGGGGTTGGACCTCTTCCCCAGCAGCCCCAGCCCACCACAGGGCAGGGGGTCAGGGCAGAGGCTGTTGTCTGAGCCGCCCCCCCCCCCCCTTGTAGTAGCCAAAGAAGAGTGGTGTTTGTGTTTTGGGTGGGGAAGTGTAACTGGCCACTACCTAGGGAAGCCTGATGAAGCTAGTAATAACTCCCAGAGGGGTGGGGAAAAAAAAAGGATTGTTGATTTAGGTTCTTTCCTGGAGTATGCAGAGGTGGGGTCTAGCAGATTGCACCTCTGCCTGGGTCATTGGCACCCAGTGCTTGGCCCCCTTTCGCTACATCTTGTCTTCTCCTGTTAGGACAATACTAACACACCAACCCTGGCCCCTGGTGTCACCCCAGACCCTTAAGCCAACCCTTTTCTTTTCAAGGATCCAACCTTTCCACTCCCACCCCCTCCCTGGGCACCCTTTCAACTGGAGGCCTGAGTCACAGATAATTGTCTGTTTGAAGGCAGGCCAGGCAGAGCGGCCTCAGTCATTAGCCGCTATCAGCCCAGCTTGCCTGGGGCTTGCTGTCACCTTCCATCCAGCCAGTGGTCACCAAGAGTGGGTGTCCCAGAGCTGTTGGGCAAAGGGAGTGGTGCATGATGGCGCGTGAGAGGGCTTACAGAGGAATGGGTGATTGAGGACTGGGAGTCACTGGGAGCCCTAGGGTGCCAGGATTCTCTTCTAGGCTTTGGGGCCATGGGCAAGGGGGCAGGGCCCACAGGGTTTGGAGGCACAAGCAGGGGTGCTGTAGCTGCTGAGGCTGTAACCGCCTCTCTCTCTCCTCAGGAGATCCCATGGCACCAGCGGCCAGCAGAGGGGACTCATCGCCCCCTGCACCTGCCCCCACGACCCCACTCCTGGACCCTTCACCCCAGTGGCCTACAGACCTCGGCTGCTCCCTCTGAACGTAGAGTCTCCACAGATCAGACTGTTGGGGAGTGGGTGTGTGTGGGGGCCTTGTGCCCAGTGTTTGCCTCAGGAGAATGAGGGCATCCTCAGCCCCTCTCCTCACGCCTCCCCCCCCGGAAGAGATTCACAGCTGGCTGCTTACCTGGGGGAGGGGGAGGGGTATTCCTTATCCCCTCTCCCTGAGGGACCTTCCTGCTGGGTCACCCTTGCCAACCAGATTCCAGCACCAGGGAAAGGAAGGAATGGTGCCCACGGAGGAACGGGAGCCTTTTGCTACAATTTGTAATTTATTTGCTAAAGTCTATTTTGTAACAATTTATTTAAGTTTTTAAAAAGGACAATTGCTCCCTCCCCACAAAAAAAGAAAGGACATTTTCAAAACATGTGACTGATGTGATTCTCTGAGGCGAGTCCAGGATGGGAAGCACCTTGTGTGTGCCGCGGAGAAGTGCAGGGGGTGTGGGTGTGGGAGCATGCGCAGGTGACCTCCCTGACCTGCAGGGTGAGGGGCAGGGCGCCTGCTCCCGGGCCATAGGGCCTGCCCAGGACCTGGATCCGCATGCGGGTGGGGCTGGGGATGTGTCCTGGGGTCACCTGTCAACAGCTGGCCGGCTGACCTGTCAGGGAGAGTGGCCGGCTCAGGATGGCTCCACCTCAGCCCCGCAGTAGTGAGAGCATGGAGGCTCACTGGCCGAGAGTGCAGAGGGAGTCCAGTGTTCTCCACCAAGGAGGCAGGGGAGGGGTCCGAAAGGGGCTTGTCCTGGATGGGGTGGGGAGGGGGAAGGGCTCTGGAGCGGGAAGGCTGTTGGAGGATGGGCCCCGGCTACGCACTTGAGTTTGCTGGGCAGCTGCCAGCTGTACCCTCCGGCTCGGGCTTGGGCTCCTCGGCAAAGTACACCTGCCACTGCAGACTGCTGACCCAGTCCTCGTAGTTGGGGAGCGCGGTGAAGACGGCAGGCCTGGCATGGCCCTCACAGATGTCTCCAAAGCTGTGTAGCCCAGCCAGGAACCATGTGCCTCTCACCTCGTGTACCAGGGGTGTCCCGGACAGGCCCTGTGAAGGGGCAGGTGACACATACTGTGTGATGTGCTCTTTCCCTCATGCAGTTGTGGGAGGGCAGTGGACCTTGAGGCAGAGGGACCAGCTGGCAGGAAGCCGGGTTTCAGTGGAGAGGTGGGGCTGGAAACTAAGGCTGGCAGACAGGCTGCCACTGAGCCTTCACGGAGGGGATGCGAAGGGCCTGCTGCAGCAGGTTGGAGGTCAGGAGCTCACCTCACAGTGGGGCGGCTCATCTATAGCACTGGTACACACCATCCCCGACTGGATGGGGGTGCCACTGTTCCCAGGGCTTGTGTGAAGTCGGCTGCATGCCCTTGGCCCTAGAAGGGTCACAGGCACTGTCCAAGGGGAGCTGGTACCTGCAGAGCAAGGGGAAAGCTTTGGCTGCTGTGGTGGCCTCGAGATTGGGTGAACAGAGCTGGTGGCCGCTGCGTGTTCTATTACCTGCTCCTGGGCTGGGCAGCCCTAAGACCCAGCCACGTTTTCCATCAGGCAGCTGGTGATCAGCATAGGGTAGGCAGAGGGGCCGCAGGTGGGGCCCCAGTGTCACTGGCTGGGCCAATAGCAGGAAGGCCACGTCGTAGCCCCCCTCCGGATGAGTATAAGCCCCATGCAGGATGAGCTGCTTCAGGCCCTGCTCCTCTGGGCCGGCCCCCAGCCCTATACTCCATTCCTCTGGGGCCTGGCGCCTGTGTGGGGGCAGCGTTGGCAGCAGCTGGACAGTGGCTGCCAGCAGGGGCCAGGAGCACGCGGGAGAGGGACGTGTAGGGCTCACCCAATGAAGCAGTGGGCAGCTGTCAGCACCACGTCCTCTGCCACCAGGGCTCCGCCACAGACCAGCTGGCCCCGGTATCTCAGCCTGGCGTCCCAGGGCCATGGAGAGGGTCCTCCTGCCTGGGGACCATCGCCCTTCAAGGATCCACAGGCTGAAATGGATGGTGTCATCTGACAGCATGCCAAGTACTTCCCATGCACTGACAAACCCTGACACTGTGCTTTCAAGTAGCCGAGTTCCAGAGAAGTTACGTGGCTCCCAGTGCTGGCACCGTGGGCCAGCAGCACGCTTCAACCCTGACAGCCTGACAGGACTCAGTCCCTGTCTTGCCTGTCTGCACCCCTGCAGGCCTGGCTCCACAAGACCTACCCATACATATAGCTTCCTTCCCCAGAAGTATTTTGCATGCAATTTCAGTGTCAGTCACTTAACACCTGCATTTAAAGAACAGGAGCCCTGTCCTGTCCAATCTTGTTGGGTCCCTACCTGGAAGCAGGTTGCCTCCCCTCCCACCTCACTCCCTGAAACCTGAAGCCAGACCTCGTAGAGCCCAACCCGGAACATTCTGGAGCCTCTTGGCCTCAGCCCCCTTTCCACCCAGCTGTTCCTGAGAGCCCCTAGTTGTCCTTGGCTGGGAATGGATACTTCATGTCTGTTCTCTGTCCTGAGCTGAAGTTTGCTTCAGGGTCTCTTGCACTCACTGCCTGAAGCCAGCAGGCCCCATGCCCCCTGCTCGTACCCACGCAGCTATTCTCATCGCTGGTCTCTGGGGTTCCTGGGCTCTGGGCTGGGAACACCGCCCCCTGGGCTTGAGCCTGGAGCCAGGGACTGTGAGCGGCCAAGTCAGTCAGCAGCACGGGAGTGTCCTCCTGGGCACATTTGGACGCAAAGCTGATGATCCCAACCTGAACCCAGTGTCCGGCAGGTTCACGACACATCACGGGACCCCCAGAGTCTCCCTGGAGCAAGGCAATGGGTTTCAGGACAGACACCAGCCCACCACAGCCCTCCCAGTTGCCCAGGCTGAGGGTGGCCACCTCCCCTTAGGCTTGTTGCCCATCAGACCTGACAGGGCCCCTGCACCCCGGGCTGGGCACCCGCACACAGCATCCCGGGCCGGGCCGGGCTGGCCAGCAGCCGCTGGTGCAATCGGTTGTACAGACAGTTGCATGTGGGGCGGCTGATGAGGCGCAGGTGCAGGTTCCGGAGCGTTCTGGGAGCTGGCAACAGAGATGGGGCTGGGCCTGGAGTCCGGGGCTGGGGTCTGGGCCCGTGAAGCAAGGGAGCTGAGGCTGTAGGACCTGGGTGAGCATGATGTCCCGGGGCTAGCACTTACCGTCCCTGGTGTCCTGGTCCCAGCCAGTGGCCCAGCAAGAGGCTCCAAAGGGGAAGCGATGGTCAGGTTGAGGCAGGCAGACAGGCATGTGTGCTGTAGGGTGGGCGAGCTGGAGCAGGGCCAGGTCTGAGCCCTGGCTATAGTGGTGGTAGGCTCCAGGCAGCCGCAGGGCAGCCACGGCCACCTCCTCAGCATTGGGGTTCAGCCCCTCCCGACACAGGGAGCCTAGGACCACCGACCAGGAGCTCAGGTCTGTCTCTGCTTCTCTGGAAAAAGCAGGGGCAGGAGAAAGCAAGGCGCAGGCTGGTGTCCCCCCCTCCACATATTGGGGGACAGAGAGAGAGGGGGAGACACCGGTCTGTAGCTTTAAGCAAGATCCTTTCCCTCAGTCTCCACCATTAAATCAGAACAGCGCCTGAGGCTGTTAAGATGAGCTTGATAACATGCCCTTGACACCTGCCATCGGCATTCCCACCACATGGTACCTCATTACTGTTCCAGGGGCAGAGACTGGTCTTGCAGGGTTTGGGGGTCAGTCATCCACCCTCAAAGCCAGAGGCCCTGGCTGACTTCTCCCAACCCCTGCCCCAGGACTTACTCCTCAAAGCAGTGAGCTGCGGTGAGGACCCAGGTGTCGGCCACCAGCGAGCCGCTGCAGATGTGGACTCCCAGCCTCCTCACACTGGCCTGCCACGGCCACTCACCTGCTTCTGTGTTGCCCTCCCGAGGCTCAGGGGGCCCAGGGCCACGCTGCCCGCAGGCTGTGCAGAAGGGATGTGAGTTACCACAGCCTCCCAACCTGTCCTCACCCCAGGCCAGACCCACATGTCCCCACAGCTTACCCCGCTGGGCTGCTTGAAGACCTGGGAAGACAGAGGGACATGGGTGAGACCTGGTCGGGGGCGGCGGGGAGCGGGGCCAGCCCTGGCTCTTTGCCTGTGACTCTTAGGGCTACCTCACCGGCCCCTCCCAGAATGAAAATATTTATATGAGGTTGAGAAGCAGCTTTTATGGGGAGCTATTCAGCGCGTCCGCTCAGTAATTACTTCCTCAGCTATGCTCAGCAATCCTGGGCCCAAGGAGCGTGCCTGGGGCTCAGCTTGGGACCAGGCCAAGCCTCCTCCAAGCTTTAGAACCCCCGTCTCGTGTCCCGACGCCCGCTGCTGAGTCAGGGCAGGCTCCTGTCCGCAGAGAGCATTAGTTTAATTGTCCCCCACTCCAACCACCTTCATCCCCGCTGGCCAGGTCCCGGAGGCCTAAAGAGGAAGGATTAGAGGCCACCATCCTGGCCGCGTGGGAGAGGTGGTCAGAGACGAAGCCTCAGCCTGGTCCCTGACTGTGGCTCCCCACCTTCCCGAGAGCTGCCGGAGATGCTATCGGGGGGTCCTGCACCTGTCCCTCCCCTGCGCATGTGCACACACACACCCCTGCTGGACATCCAGGTCAGGAGGGATGAGAGAGAGTGGACGGAGGTGGCCCAGAATGTGCCTGAAGTCAGAGAGGCAGCCAGTGGCACAGAGCACACACAGCCACAGTGACAGTCCCTGAGAGAGTCTCATCCACCATGACACGAGTGTCACGTATGGTCAAACACAGCTACATCACCACCATTACACTGTCAACACAGACACTCACTCTCTGTCTCCTGGGCACGGGTGGCTTACCCTGCAGAAGGACCACTGTTCCCAGGATGAGCAACGCCGGCCCCCAGCTCGGCCACATGCTGCCAGGCCACTCTGCCGTCTGCTGCTCTGATTCTTAAAGAGGGCCTACCTGGCTACCCCGGCTCCACCTCTGCTCCGCCCCTCTGCTTGGCGGCTAGCCAAGGCAGCCTTGCTTTTCCTGGACTGGAAGGGAGCCAGCAGTTCCCGGCTCTGGCGCTGGTGATGGCATCTTGTCTGGGCCTCAGCCATGGGGCTGGACTGCCCGGGTTCACATCCAGTTCCTGGACTGACTCCTCCTTGAGTAACCTGGAATGGTTAACCTGTCAGGGCCTCGTCTTTTTTTTAAGATTTATTTTATTTTTATTGGAAATATACAGAGAAGAGACAGAGAGGAAGATCTTCCATCTGCTGACTCACTCCCCAAGTGGGCGCACGGCAGGAGCTGTACCGATCTGAAGCCAGGAGCCTCTTCTAGGTCTCCTACACGGGTGCAGGGTCCCAAAGCTTTGGGCTGTCCTCGACTGCCCTCCCAGGCCACAAGCAGGGAGCTGGATGGGAGCAGGGCCGCCAGGACATGAACTGGCACCTATATGGGATCTTGGCACATGCAAGGTGAGGATTTTAGCTGCTAGGCTACTATGCCGGGCCCAGGGCCTTGTCGTTTGAATACAGAAATGCTCCCAGCATGGAGGCCACATCCTGGGCCTGATAGGGCATGGTGGTTCCCACCCTGTGTTGCAGCTTCCTTGCTTTCTCCCAGGCTGATGCCAAGAAGGCTTCACAGAGTTCCTCCAGGTCTGCCTGGGGCTGTGTGGAGGACTAGGTGTCGAGGGGCCCATGAACCCTTGAGAAAGGTCAACACTCCTCAGAGCCCACTGTCCCCATGGGAAACAGAGTTCAGTAGCAGCCATCCTTCTGACGAACACTGGAACGCCCAATTCCTGATATGGACCAGCCCACATAACCTAACCCTGTCACACAGGGCGCCGTGGGGAGGGCTCTACGTGGAAGACTTGGGAGTCGGGGCGGGTGTCGTGCAGAGTGATTAAGTAGCCACCCAGGACATTTGCATTCCACACCGGAAGCATCCCGTATCAGAGTCCTGGTCGGACTTCCTACCCAGCTCCCTGCTAAGGCATCCGGAAACACTTGGGCCCTTGTCTGCCACCCAGGTGGGAGACATGGATAGAGTTTCTGGTTCCCAGCTTCAGCCTGGTCCAGCCCTGGCTGTGTGACCATTAGGGAAGTGAATCAAGCAAGAGCTCTTTCTCTGTCACTCTGCTTTTCAAATAAATACATCTTTAAGGAAAAAAAAAACAACAAAAAAACCAGACAGACTTGGAGTCAGGTCCCTGGAGCGCCCTAACTTATTTTCTGATTCCACCTGTGTGAACGCCCCTCTTGGAGACTGGGGCAGCAGCACCTGCCTCATATGAGCTCATCCACCCACGTCCTCAAACACTGATAAATGTCTTAGGAAATGCAGAACAAAATGATTTGCAATCTGCTCTTGGCCCCGCCAGGCTGCTAACACCGCCTTCGGATAGCAGATAAAAGGCAGGCTGAGGGGTTACGTGTTAGATGGCGGAAAGAGCTTCCCGTCAAGCATGCAAAGAAGCAGAGGGACAGCTTGACGTCACAGGTACATGCCTGGCACTCCCAGGAGAGCAGGACTGACCCTCCGGGGCAGTAGGGACCAGTCACCAGCCTGTTTCCAGGAGGCGGGGGCTGACGGTGCCCTAGGTCTTGCTGACTCCACACACTGGCAATGAGGCCAACCCGTCAGCACCCTTGCAGACAGTCTCTGCACCCACTCCCCCTGACTCACAACCTTCCCACTTCCAGGGAAGGCAATGCTGGTGAAAACCCCTCCCTGCCCGCACGCCGTCAGGGTCCCTGGCAGAGACATGGGGCAGACGTGGCCAATGTGTATAAGAAACTTTATTGCTGAAAACAGCTCGTCCCTGGGCAGGTGCAGGAAACCAGCCCTAGGGGACAGAGCTGGGGCACTGGCTGGAAGACAGAGCGGAGCACGTTTGGTCCATTATCCTGCTGTGTGGGTCTGGGGGTGGGGGAGGGAGGCAGGGCCTTCCAAACACCTGGGAAAGGCCCCCCACGGGCAAAGCTCCCGTGTGTGCCAAGGCAAAGCAGATGAGGTCAGCCTGTGTGGGGGAGAGGACTCAGTGGCCCTTGGCCTTGACCTGGGGTTCTGGGACCTCCCGGAAGCTAAGCAACATCAGGCCCACGTTGATGGCATACGTAGTGATGCAGACGATGCAGAAATCATAGAGCACGAAAAACAGGATCCAGGCCAGGTAGACGGAACCGGCAATCGACACCAGCGAGCTCAGTACCAGCAGGATGGAGGCCCAGCGAGCCCGCAGGCAACCTGCGGAGGTGGGAAAGGGTCAGGGAGGACCTTCTGCCTCTGGCCATCTGAGGATGGCCGCGGGGGGCGGGGGGACCACCCAGACCACAGGTGACGCCGGGAGAGGGGTCTCTAAATCAAGAGGCAAGGGGCTGGTGCTGTGGCATGTAATGCTGGCATGCTCTACGGGCACCAGTTTGAATCCTGGTTGTTCCACTTCTGATACAGTTCCCTGCGGATGCATCTGGGAAAGCAGTGGAATATGGCCCATGTGGGAGACCTGGAAAGAGGCTCCCAGCTTGTGGCTTTGGGCCAGCCCAGCTCTGGCAGTTGGAAAGTGAACCAACAGATGAAAGATGTCTCTAATTCTACCTTTCAAGTAAATAAATCATACAGGAAGTTCCATTAGGCCCCCTCTGAGATCTACGCTCCCCATGCACCCACTGAGCCCGGGACCCAGAGAATGAAACTTTCTGTGACCTGCAGATGACACAGGAGACAGGTAGGTCATCCCTGTGTACCCCCCAAGTGCCACAAAACTGGGGTTTCAGGAAGTCTTTCAGCACCCCTCAAGCTGGGCCAATACTTAAACGTCCCCTCCCTCCCTGCTGGGAGGATGCCTGGCTGCTGCCTCCCGTCCCCCCAATCCTGCAGGTCTCAAAGGGGCGAGGTCCACCGGGAAGGGGCGGGGCCACTCACCTAAGGCCAGCTGCAGCGTGTAGAAAATGCAACCGAATATACTGTTGGATTGATTGAGGATGCTATCCTGGCCCAAGACTTGCTCCACCAGCCCGAAGCCCCGGCCCCATCTGAAGGGGGTGGAGCCCCAAGTTAGCCGTGTTAACCTAATGCCTCTTGGACTCTGCTCTGGCAAGGAGCTAACCAGCTGCTGGTCCTCCTTCCACGTGCCCCACCTCTCCCAATCTTAAGGATCCAAGACCTCTTGGCCTCCCACACCTTTGGTCACGTCAGGGCTCCAGGCCACTGCCCCCTCCTCCCCCACCCCCTTGGGCTAGGCCCTTCCTTCTAGCCTAGACTGAGGGTTCTAGAGTTTGTCTCCGCTGTAGAGCTATCAGAGATCTGAAAGCCTAAATCTCCAGCTCCCACAAGTGACTGACCCCTGGCCTTCACGCTCCCCCATTTTCCTAGGGGGTCGCCCTCATTCCTGGGCATCCTCATCCACGTGTGGCCTGGCCACCCGCGGTCTGCTGTTTCCCACGGCGGGTCACCTCCGGGTGGCACGGCACCCCTCTTCCCCGCCAAGTATCCGTGTCCCGAGCACCCCGTGCCCCCACACTGGGGGAGCTCCCGGTGACCTGGCTGCCAGGCAGACGAGCACCCCGTGCCCCCACACTGGGGGAGCTCCCGGTGACCTGGCTGCCAGGCAGACGAGCACCCCGTGCCCCCACACTGCGGGAGCTCCCGGTGACCAGCCCTAGGTGCCCGGGAGCCCAGGCCTCGCACTCCCCGAGCGCACCTGGACGAGAAGACGCGAGAACAGCTGATGGCGGAGCCCACGTCGCAGAGCGCGCGGTAGTCCCGGTCCCTGGCGCGCGCCGCCTTCACGTGCAGCGCGTACAGGGACAGCGCCAGGCCGGCCAGGCAGAGCGCCAGCCGCGCCCTCCCGGGGTTTCCCCAGCCGGTGCCCATATCTGCGTGTCCCCGGGGAGGCACCCATGGGCGCGGACCCGCCACGGGGCAGGTGGTGGCCACGCCCCCGGCCCGCCCCCTCGGCCCGGTGATTGGCCCACTCGTCTCCTACTCTCGGATCCAATTGGTTGTCCCCAGGAACTCCCACAAGCGAATTGACAAGGAACGGTCACAGCGAGGAATGCTGGGATCTGTAAACACGATTAAGGGATGTGGATAATTTGGGAGAAGCGCTGCTGGGGATGATGGGAGATGTAGTCGGGGAGCTGCAAGGCATCAAGGGAAATGGAGTCTCCAGAGTTTTCCACATAGTTCTTGGTTTGTAGCGTTTAGCGTTCTAAGCATTGGAACTGCCAGGAGGCCAGCTCTAGAGAAATCCTGCATCCCTCCTGAAATGACTTCACGTCGTTCAGACTAAATCCTCCCTCGGCCGTTCCCTCCTGCCGCACCAGCGCCCTCTGCCGCTCAGTTCCTTTCCCTGCACTCCAGCCAGGCAGGATCCTAACCCGAGCCTGGATCCACCTCAGTCCTTGCTTTCCAGGCCTAACTTTGCTCTTCACAGGCATTCCCTCTGCTGCCGCCCCATCTCTTGCATGCCTCCAAACCCACCATCCTTTCCATCTGAATGGAAACTTCTTTCTCTTCACCATCTCAGAACAGCAAAAAAAATCTGGTGGAAACCAGCCCCTGCCCTCCCTCCCTCGTGCCCAGTCCGCGTCCCCAGGCTCATCATCTCCTGTACCGTCAACTTTTGGGGAAAATCTTCCATGCCTTCTTTCTGCTTTCCCGCTGCCCACACCGCAAGCTAACTCCTGCCCCGCTTCCTCTGATAACTTAGAAGTACCACTAGGTTATGAAATCCAATGCTCATTTTTTCAGGTCTTGCTTAGTCACGGTTTGAACACAACTGCTTCTTTCAGGCATGTGGCAGGCAGAGTAGTAGTCTCCAGAGATGCCCACCTCTTCCCTGGAGCATGTGAACATGTTAGGCTATAGAGCAAAAGGGAACTAGGGTTGCAGAGAAAAATTCAGGTTGCTAA